TTTGAAAGCGATTGATTTTACGGTAGCGAGCATGAATATATGAATATCCCCCCCCCTTATCGCATCTAGGAACGGCCCTGTAAAGGAAAATAGCATGAATATAGAAATTAGATTCCCTTATCTGAAAGAACTTTTAAAATGACGTGGAAAACATTTTAAAGCTTTTTTTAAATCTCGCTTATTTCTCGACCTTAAGAAAAGCTTCTGTTGTGATGGACCTAAACTGTGGAACTCATTACTTAAATGCATGCAATTATTAAATGCTTATAATTTGAGTTTGTGTAATTGTCGAGGGTCGTACGTTGAGGTCGAGGGTCGAAAACGGTAAATGTTATCCATTTTAAAAGTTTTACAACCATATTGAAAGCTAATTCCAAACGTGGCAAAACAATTAGTTTTGCTCTCAAAACTGAAAAATTTCACCTATGGCTATAATCTATCTATACTGAAATTTTTGCTTGAGGAACTAAAAGTCTGATGCGAGGTTTGATGTTTGAAAGTATACGTATTTTAATATACATTGGAATTTAAAATATACAAACATGGGCGATGATCAGAGGCGATGATACAAAATTTGCGTTTTGCTCTCATGAGAAATTTGATTATAAGAGGCTGTTTATATGGTCCCGCTTATGACGTATTTTGATCGAGCAATTGAAATACGTGTTTCGGCCCTAAACAAAAGTTAGATAACTTTAAATATTTTTTAAACGAAATTAGGAATGCACTAGAAGTTATGTAGTAGAAGAAGATGATTGGTAGCATTCAACATCATTTGTTTTTTTGTTTAACTCTTTCTCGCCACGCCCCAGTTGCGTCAATCCTGAGCGATCGACGGCTTTGCGTGTTGATATCTTCGGTTCATTGCATACGATGGAGACAAAAATACCACTGTTAGAACCGCAGTTTCACAATCTCATGTCAGACCTAACTTTGTTTGTCTATGGTGCAACGCAAGCGATTTATAATTTTTTAAATCATTGAGATATGTGTTTTCAAAAATACGTACTGGATGTTCAACATAACAAACATATTCTGAACTTTGCTGGACTATATCTTCGCTTGAATAAAAGTTATCGAGACAGAAATACCACTATTAGAATCCTCGTATTGCAATATGTTTATGTCTTGAATTTCGTAAGATTACGAACATAAACAACACATTTTATGGGCATTTTCGGAAATGCACATGCATTTGTGATGCGTTGTACACCAGTCGGCAATCTTCGGAGCCTCAATTCGTAGGGTCAATTAATTTTTTAGATTATAAGTGATGCGCGCACCAACGGCTCGCTGCCGTCTTTGATATTGTCTAATACGCAAAGATGGCTTTCACGCTTGACGCCGTGATCGAAGCGATCAGCAATGAAATGGAATATCATCAGATGAAGAAGAAGACTTGGACAGACGTTTGGTGATGTCAGATAGCGACCCAAGGCAAGTATCAAAGGTTTGAACCGATATCAAAATGTGTGAGCGTCATGTTGCACACGTGTCATAAGTGGGCATTTAAAAAATTAATTTATGCATTTTTGTTTATATGAAGTAAAATAATACCATGTATCAGTATGTTTATAGTATTTTATTTTTTTATGGTGATGAAGAACCTGCTGATGAAGAAGATGATGAGGATCCAGATTGGGAGGAGGATGGTGATTTAGGGGAGAGTAGTGGTGGTAGGGGCCGATCCCCAATTAGGAGACGGGCTGACTCCCCTAATGGTACTTCTGGCAATAGGGGAAGGGGCAATAGGGGAAGGGGCAATAGAGGAAGGGGCAGTAGGGCCAGGGGCGGTAGGGCCAGGGGCGGTAGGGCTAGGGGTGGTAGGGCCAGGGGTGGAAGGGCCAGGGGTGGAAGGGCTAGGGATACCGAGGCCAACAGTAGTAGTAAATCTTATGATGATGCGGACATTAGGAATACCCTCCCTCCCTTTCAACCAAGCCGTCCGCCAGGAATTCATTTTGATAGGCATGTCTTGCGGGGAGGAATGACAACTGAATTAGAATTTTTTTGTCTCTTCTTCACCACCGAGATGATAAAATCAGTTGTTGCCCACACCAACAGCTACGCATTCATGAGACTTGTAGCTGGGGGGTTCACCACTGGGGAGGGGGCCTGGAAAACAACTACTGAAGATGAAATAAATCCGTTTAATTGCTATTTTGATTTATTTCGGTCTGGTATGTGTAGACACAGCAGTTGATAAGTATTGGAGCACAAAGACCCTTTACCACGGTCTCTGGGCAAGGAAAATACTTTCCTGTAAACGTTACAAAGCCCTTATGGCATTCTTGCACGTGGTAGACCCTGCCGAAGAGATTGCTAGCAATAAACTGTGCAAGGTTGAGGAGTTTCTGGCATCGTTCAAAGAGCGATGCCGTATGTTATACCAACCGTACCAGAATATTGCTGTAGATCAGGGGTCTTCACCCCTTTTTTTTCGGCGACCCAAACCCAAGCTTCATAGGTGTCCTGCGACCCTGAACACTGCCAAAATTTGAATCAAGAATATAGTTGAGTGCTGAAACATTATTTTTATTACAGCTATATAACATCGACAGTATTACTCAACTGTTAGAATTATCATTAATAACGATTGTAGAGTTCTTAACTTTCGCATCAAGTGTCATTTTTTGCCCCTGACAATTTTTTCATATCTCGGTATGTAGGATGTTGTGGCAAGCTTCATGTTAATCGACAAGTTCTCATTTGTCAGGCGGCTTCTGTATTTATTCTTAATGAACGTCATCGCGGAAAAAACTGATTCGCACACATATGTGGTTCCAAATCTCACCAATACCTTCTGAGCCATTGATTTCAGTTCTGGATATTGTTCTTCGCTGAGACTTAGCCAAAATTTTGATAGATCTGAATCAAATTCCAGTTTGGCAACTGGGTTCGCTTGGAGTTGGCTCAGTTCCATTGCAAACTCTCCGCGTGGTTTTCCGGTAAACGGCGCCTGTATGATTGTGAAATCTTCCACCTCTAGACCTGGAAATCGTTCTTGGAAATTAGTTGCAAGTTTTTGTAAATAGTCGCACAGAATCCGGACTTCGGGCGTGAAGTCAATATCGTCATCATTGAGAAAGCAGATCAGTTCCAAGAAACATTCGAAGTGTATAAAATTGTCCTGGATTGCTTCTTCTCGTAGCACGCCAAGCTTGTTTATGAAACCACGGATGCTGTTGTGTAACTCGAACACAAACTTTCCCCGTCCTTGTAGATTTGTATTGAGGAAGTTTATATGAGTAAATACGTCAGTCAAGAACGCCAGCTTAGCCAAAAAATGAGGATCGTTGAATTTAGTGGCATTTATATGCCCCTTCTCTGTCAAAAATTGATAAAGTTCCTCTCGAAGTAAGAACACCCGCTTCAGAGCGCGACCACGTGACAGCCATTTCACAGTATTGTGAAATAGCAAGGTTTCATATTCGGCATCATTTTCTTCGCAGATTTTTTTGAAGAGGCGTGCATTCAAATCTCTCGCTTTCACGAAATTGATCACATTGATTATGATGACCATCACATTTTCAAATTCGACCGATAGGTCCTTGCTCGCAAGGGCTTGCCGATGAATAATGCAGTGGTTGAATTTCATGTCGGGATTCACTCCCTTCACTCGCCCTTTAAATCCGTTCATATTACCAATCATAGCTGGTGCACCGTCCATGTTGCTTTCTCTGATGGATCCCCATTCAATGCCACTCAACGCGAAAAATCTGCTAACAATATCGAAAATATCTTGTCCTTTAGTCGTCGTTTCCAACGTTAGTACCTCAAGTAACTCCTCTTTCAAGTCTTCTCGTGGACTTATATACCTCCCATATAATGCCAGCTGTGGCTGCGAAGTATTGTCAGTTGATTCATCCAAGGCAATACTCTTTTGGGGCGATTCTTTGAAATCTGAAATAACTTGCTGTGAAATATCATTTGCACAATCAACAGTTCTTCTCCATACTGTCGTATCACTCAGCGTTACGCTGTCGGCCGCTGTCTTCACTTTCCTGTGGAACGATTCACCCTCAAACAATTCGACGAAATTCTGGAGGCTCGGCTTTATCATTACTTCACCCTCGACATACGGTCGTTTGGATTTCGCGATTAGGAAGGCCGTTTTCAGAACAAATATTTGTCTTTTCTGTTCGTCATTTAAACTTCCCATCATTATTTGTTGTGATTTATTAAGATTGGCGGCAAGTTTCTCGAATACTCGCTTGCGAGCATCTTCCGACAAAGCGAATATATTTCTATGTGTCTCTAAATGGCGCTGAAGTTTGTTGGGCTTTATAGACTCTGCTGCATATACGTGTTGACATTTTACACATAACGCCCGACGATGCTGCGTTTAGGAGGCATCTTATTAATCCGTCCCAATCACTCAACCATGTCTTGACTTCACGGGAAAGAAGGGTTAATAAACTGCTATGCAGCCACAGGGGGCTGAGAAGTAAAATATGTCAATTAATTTACCTTCAATATATTTTCATAACATCAAAATGATCAAATGCAAATAAAACTTTCGATAATTAAAAACATTATGGCTTTTCACCGAAAGCTTCCGAGTGTATGACGACGACTCTACTTCGGAAGACGACGTGCGCCGAAGGCGCGCCGAGTGGTGCTAAGCCATAATGTTTGAGTTACATGAAGTAACAGGTATTATATCTAAAGCTTTACCAGTTTACCTGTTTACCATATTATTCTAGCAATCTAGCGCTTGAGTGCTTCATAATAATCGTGAAAAAACATTATAATCGCAAATTTCGCAAGGAAATATTCATATGTAAATATGTGCATCTTATCACTTGATCTCTCGTCTTGTAAAGTTTACTAGTGTAAGTTCGCGACCCTAGACAAGCATTGCGACCCATGCGACCCAAGACAAGCCTTGCGACTTTCGAGGGTGTGCTAGCGACCCAATTTTGGGTCGCAACCCATGGTATGAAGACCCCTGTCTTGGCACCTTAGGTCCAGCACTGCATCTTGAAGTTGATCCTGAAATGTCGGCTGTCCAACTCCCACCAAGAAAAATCCCAGAGTCGTTGCGAGAACATTTGGACGAACTTGTCAAGCTTGAGGTCATAGAACGAGTAGACTATCCAACAGACTGGGTCAGCGCAATTGTTGTTGCACCAAAACCCAATGGCAAAATTAGATTATGCCTCGATCCCAGACCACTCAATAAAGCGCTGAAACGATGCCACCATCCAATACCGACAATTGACGACGTACTTCCAGAACTGTCCAATGCAAAAGTCTTTACCAAAGTCGACTGTAGCAACGGATATTGGCAAGTAGAATTAGACAAAGAATCGTCTCTTTTAACGACGTTCAACACTCCATTTGGACGATTTAAATGGCAACGGATGCCTTTCGGGATCTCCCCTGCAGGAGAGATTTTCCAGCAACGACTAGACCAAGCAATTGAGGACTTGGATGGTGTACGGACTGTTGCTGATGACATTTTAGTAATAGGAAATGGAGAGACGATGCAGGAAGCTGTAGCCGACCATGACAGAAAGCTCAAGGAACTATTCGACCGCTGCAGAGCTAAACATATCAAGCTTAACCCAAACAAGATTGAGTTGAAAAAGACCTCAATGCCATACATTGGCCACATTCTTACCTCTGACGGTGTCCAAGCGGATCCTGCTAAAGTACAAGCCATACTAGAAATGAAGCAACCCACAGACGTGGCTGGAGTCAGGAGAATCCTCGGAACAGTTAATTATCTCGCCAAGTTCCTTCCCCACCTCTCACAAGTATCTGAACCACTACGGCAACTCACAAAAAAGAATCAGCCTTTCGATTGGGAGAAATCACATGACGCCGCTTTCACCCAAATAAAGAAATTGATCATAGAACCGCCAGTCCTCAAGTACTACGAGTCGACCAAACCCCTGATAATACAGTGTGACGCTAGCGACCACGGCCTGGGGGCCGCACTCATTCAAGAGGGAAAGCCTGTCGCACTTGCAAGCCGAGCATTGACGCACGCAGAGAAACAATACGCTCAGATAGAAAAGGAACTGTTAGCTATAGTTTACGGAACCGAGCGTTTTCACCAGTATACATATGGCCGACCAGTTACAGTAGAATCAGACCACAAGCCGCTCGAAGTTATTCATCAGAAACCTCTGTCAGCAGCACCTAGACGTCTTCAAAAGATGATGATGAGATTACACCAATATGACTTAACCCTCGTTTATAAGAAAGGGTCAGAGATGCTGCTAGCTGACACACTCAGTCGTCACCATTTAGACAACTCCACCGACGAAGCACGCAACGTCGACAGCGATCTCGACCAAGTGGACAGTTTGGAAGAAATCAACGAAATACTAAATTGTGAAACAACAACCATATTCCAAGATCACACAACGAAAGATCAAGACCTACAGCAAGTCAAATCATTCATCCAGTCAGGATGGCCCGAAAGCTCCAAAGATCTATCTCCAATAATCACCCCGTACTTCCATTTACGAGACGAATTAACAACACAAGAGGGCCTCGTGTTTAGGGGAGATCGCGTCGTTATCCCAAAATCACTACGAAAGCAAGTACTGAATGAATTGCATGCAGCACACCAAGGGATCGCATCGACAAGTCGGCGAGCCAGAGAAACCGTCTACTGGCCACACCTGAACCAAGAATTGAAAGACCACATCTCACATTGCATCACCTGTGACACATTCAATTCCAAGCAGCCGAAAGAACCTCTCATCCCGCATGAAATACCAAAAAGAGCATGGGCAAAATGAAATGATTGAAAAGAAATCGTATTTAGTGACAGTGGACTACTATTCGAACTTCTTCGAAGTTGACCGCCTTGAAAAATTGACATCACTGGCAGTCATAAAGAAACTAAAGCCCCATTTCGCCAGGTTCGGTATTCCAAACACTCTCGTGACAGACAACGGCCCACAATTCATCAGTGATGACTTTCGAGACTTCTCTATGAAGTACCAATTTGAGCAAATAACGACCAGTCCCTAACACCACCAATCCAACGGCAAAGCCGAATCTGCCGTCAAGCAAGCCAAACGAATAATTCGAACATGCAAATCATCAAACGATGACATTTACCTTGCCCTTCTTGCCCACCGAAACACCCCCCAAACAACCCATGAAACAAGCCCCGCACAACGACTGTTCAACCGCCGTACAAAGACTCCCTTGCCCGTCTCGGAGAAGTTGCTCCAACCGAAGATAAATCCGCAAGCAAACAAACGCATCCAACAAAGACAACAGCTCCAAAAGAAATACCACGATCGTGGCGCAAAAGAGCTCAGCCCGTTGCGGAAAGGAGAAGGGGTGAGACTACAGCCAACCCGAATCGGCGAAAAGAAATGGAAGAGAGGGATAGTTGTACGCAAAGCCGGGATAAGATCATATGAAGTCCAATGCAACGGGTATACCTATACTAGAAACAGTAAATTCATCCGACGATCAAGGTTACCTGCAGAATTCGGTAGTGAAAACGCAGATGAAGAGATGTCAGACATGTCCGAAACGGACGAGAACGTTTCTGTACCTATTGTCAATGATCTGCCCCAAGAAAATCCTCAACCAGCACTCTTAGAACGCAATGAAACAAGTACCGAAACAAGTTCTACAAGCAAAACCCGTAGTGGACGGTTAGTTAAAAAACCTGACAGGCTAGGTATAGACACATAAGTGAACCCGGTATATACGGTATATTTATAAAGAAAAAAAAAAAAACTTTCAGAGAAGAGGAGATGTTGGACATTTACTGTTGACATTAATATTTTAGTTCTATTTGCTCGGACAGGGGAAACTGGGAACGAAGAAAAAGGGCGCGAAATATAGTGTAGGACACGGGATTTTAGAGGCAGAGTATATACATGTTATGAGTTTATATTATACGAATTATACTGTAAGAAATAAAACTATCAAAAGTTAATGAAAGTGAGAAGCAAATAACAAACACAGTCTTAATATTGTTACTAAAAATCTAAAACCTTGGTTAACTATTATAAATAAGAACGCCAATTTTCAATTTTTATTTGTAAATAGTAGGATTTTAATCAGTTTTAACTAAGGTTTTAGATTTTTTAGCCACAATATTCAGTAAGACTGTGTTGAAAGAGAAATATAGATATTAATCTTTCCTTGCTTCGACTAACGGTCAGTATAATCTGCAGACTGCAGACCAAGTACAAAATGCAAAATATGTATAAATTGCAGACTGAAATTGCAGACTTGGTATAAAATGCAGACTGAGTGAAAAAAACAACAACAAAAAAACGTATGAAACTACACCGTACACCCGTTTTCAAAATTATGCGACTTACCAAAATATAATCTAAGACTAAGACTCAAATGTCAGTTTTATGTCACGAGAGTTGTGGGAACTGCTAAATATAGCAAACGTAAGCAAAATTAAGAGATTTTAAACCGTATTTAATGATCTAAAGAGTAAAGTCTAAGAAGAATATTGAACTAAAATGAGTAGATAGGCTACACAAACTAAAAGCTAGAAACAACAAACCATCACAAAAATAAATTTGTGTAGTGAATGACTTTTAAGTTTGAGAAAAAACAATTTATCCTCGAATTTAAATGACAAATGTGTATTAAACCCGCTTACGACTGACTATAGCAGTAATATTATGATTTTGTTGTGCTTAAATTTTGCAATAATTTTCACTAAAATATCTTGAAAATAATTCTAAACCTTTTTATATAAAGCACACAAAGCTTATACATTAACATGCATCGACAATGAACCGCAAAACTCGAAGTTGTAACTTGTAAATAATTTGAACTTCATGACAGTATGACATATTAAAATATATATGTTTTTCACAGTCTGCATTTTATACCAAGTTTGCAATTTCAGTCTGCAATTTATACCTATTCTGCATTTTGTACTTGGTCGCCAGGGAACACAGCAATAGGAAACACGGTAATAGGAAATAGAGAACACAGCAATAGGAAACACAGTAATAGGTAATAGCCCGCCAGGGAACACAGCAATAGGAAACACGGTAATAGGTAATAGGGAACACAGCAATATAAAAAACTAAACACGGTAATAGGTAATAGCCCGCCAGGGAACACGGTAATAGGTAATAGGAAATAGGGAACACAGCAATATAAAGAAACACGGTAATAGGTAATAGCCCGCCAGGGAACACAGCAATAGGAAACAAAGTAATAGGTAATAGGAAATAGGGAACACAGCAATAGGAAACACGATAATAGGTAATAGGAAACACGGTAATAGTAGCGAAAAAAGTAGCTTTTGCAACCCACTTTTTCAACACGGAAATAGGCAGCCTAGACCTAGGCCTTCTAGTCTTATTTATATGTTTTTAATATTCAGCGCTTTTTCACATGAAAAGACTGGGACTAGGTGATTTGGGGGCGGGGCGGAGGAAGCAAGCCTAGAAGGCCTAGTTGATTTCCCAACAACAAGGCCAAAACTGCCCTGAAACTGCCCTGGTTGCGAAATGCCCAATTATTGCGTTCTCAAACAGAAGTATTTGCAACTTAACGGCGAATTTAAACGGATACAGGTAAAATAAACTCATTTATAGTATAAACTTACTACTTTTATTTGTATACACGTCTAGAAAATCGGGTTTTTTATCATAAGTTTGAAGCAACACTATTATTATGTTGACAAGGTGTAGCGAAAGCACAAAATGAGTCAAAATATATACCAAAAGTAGAATCTTTCATGAAATTTTGTCTTATATATTTTATAAATTTTGGCAAGAAGCAGTCTTGTGTTTGTAAAATATACAAACACATATACAATTATAATTTATTAAATAAAACGGATACATATATTATTAGCCCGTACAGTACTGTATATAAAAAGTACATTGTTTACAAATGGTATATCCGTAATATTTGAACAATAATTTCAAAATCCTCATTCCCAATTCGCAAATATGTTATTCAAAGCAAAACAGTAGATTGTCTTGCGAATAAAAGTTATTATTTTGTGCTTTCGCTTCACCTTGTCAACATAATAATAGTGTTGCTTCAAACTTTATGATAAAAAACCCGATTTTCTAGACGTGTATACAAATAAAAATAGTAAGTTTATACTATAAATGAGTTTATTTTACCTGTATCGGTTTAAATTCGCTGTTAAGTTGCAAATAATTCTGTTTGAGAACGCAATAATTGAGCATTTCGCAACCAGCGCAGTTTCAGGGCAGTTTTGGCCTTGTTGTTGGGAAATCCACTAGGCCTTCTATTTTTCCGCTTGCGTCAGGCTTGTCCTTCCTCCGCCCCGCCCCCAAATCACCTGGTCCCAGTCTTTTCATGTGAAAAAGCGCTGAATCTTAAAAAAATATAAATAAAAATAGAAGGCCTAGGTCTAGGCTGGGAAATAGGTAATAGCAATTACACTTCTGGGCTTTCGTACGCATGTAACGGTTTTGTAAATACGCGCGAAACTTACAATAAGAAATAGAGGGGAGTGAAACTGTGGGCACGTGATCAATATTAACCAATAGCATTTCGGGATTTGAGAACCGCTTTCTCCAAGGTTTGTAGCAAAACCAAACGCTTACAATCAGATTATAGTCGACTGTAAAAGCCTACCAAAAACGATTTGTTCACAATTCGTAAACGTTTCAATTCTGATTTCTTTTTAAATGTATTATATCATGCTTCTAGATCTACTTCAAGAATATTGCCCATAGCATGTTCGAGAGTGGTAATAATATAGTTTTGTCATTATTTATATATAAATGTTGTTAGTTGTGAATTGTGATTTTTCTGTATAACGTATATTAGTTACATTAAACACAAATATTCCCGTTTTAGTATATTGTATGCTGGTTTTACTTGGATAATTTCACATTAGAATATTTGAAAATGGCTTTAATGTTATAAAGTAACACAAAATATAACAAAATCATGACGAAATGTCGAAATTTGACCCCGTTGTTTAGTATATTAATGTACTGAAATATGATTAAAAAAGACAAATATATGGCATACTACGATCAACCACAGTTTGGATTAGCTATGGATCAACTCATCACGTTAAACACACGTGAACTGAAGCCAAGATTGCATAATTCCATAACTATATCTAGCAGTGGCCTGTGCCTAGCAACGGTTACTGTGCCTAGCAATTTGCTACAGCGTATGTCGAAAGATTTTACCGGATGTGCCCACAGTTTCACTCCCCTCTATTTCTTATTGTAAGTTTCGCGCGTATTTACAAAACCGTTGCATGCGATACAATTTGTACAGCGGACGACCATGTGAAAATAGCCTGCAAAGAAGGCGCGTCGAAGGGCGACAATATTTATACGAAAATATTACGAAAGTTTATATGGCTCGTTTACGTACTTAAAAACAGTGTTTTAGTGTTTTAATGCAAATTAGCAAACCAAAGAAGACAAAGATTACCTATCCACAGATTTTACAGCCATATACAGGTACGCAAGTCTCGAAAAGGATACTGCTGTGCTTCCTTGAGTCAATTCCAACTGCGATCATCCCCCCCCCCGACTAAAAATTTAATTTTATGATCGGCTCAAAACTTTTAGTTTTGCAATTTATATAGTTTTGCAATGCCGTTTCTTTTTATGCTCGCTATTGTAAGTTCAATTTCAGTTCTTTTTATCTATAAAATATCATAAAGACACATAATTACAGCCTTTTGACCTCCCTGGTCGAGTTCCAAACTTTATATAACGGCATTTTATATACAAACAAGACGCTCTCTCGAGCGTTAACTTGCTGGGGCTTTTTAAATAGGCGCTTGCGTGAATGTGTGATTTGCAACGAGCGGTAAGAGTATATTCAACGATTTGTGGGCTTGATTTGTAATGTATATACAGCAAATTTAACTAAAGTCGTCCTTTCAATGTAGTGGAAACTCACAATCAGGGCCGTCGCACAAGAGTTCATCATATCCCTGAACTAAAGAATTCCTGTCGTAAAAGAGATCTGCTGAAGAATTCCTGTTAACAGGGTTTATTTTAAGAAAAAATTAGAACTGCACACAGGGATGTTACAAAGGCAACGGGTGTTTGACTGGGGGGGGGGGATCAAAGGATTTTTTACCTGCATATAGGTGACAGAATAATAGTGTGGTTGGGTGGGAGAATTGGAGAAAGGCCAGACAAACTCTATTTTGGGTGCAGGCCGCGCGCATGTAGCTAAGGGTGTTCCCCAAAACAATTTGAATCTAGAGGCTGTTTAAGTTCTGGCAAATATTTGTTTTACCCAACCACTCAAAAAACTGTTTCAAAACATGTAACTAGGAATCATGGATATTCAATATATAACAACCTTAAATTTGCATTTGAGGCAGCAAAGAATATTAGGTTCTCCCACTCAAATATCTTTTGGGGAGCTTCACTCGCCCCAATTTTACCTTCTTTTCCATTACCCCAGCACGTAAGTGTTTTAGGTAAAGAGGAGGGTCTGGAGTCCTCCCCCAGAAATCGTTTATATTTTTGATGCTCAATTAATGACAGCATTTCTGGAATTTTCTGGAGCATCCACAAGGCCAGGTATTAACGAGTAAATGAGGAGACTGTTTTAATTAAGGCTATTTTTGTTAGTTTGGTGACTGCACATTTGTGTTTTAAGAACTGCACAAATGGGTTTAGAACTGCACATTTTGTGTAGATCTGCATGTTAAAATAAACCCTGTCTGTTAATACCCATGAAGAGAGACCCTGGAAGAATTTCAATTTTTACATTTGACCCCTGAGAAAATCTCATTCAAAATATCCATTACCCCTAAAGAATTCCACACAGAAATTGGCTTATCCCTGAGGAATTCCAAAGCTAAAAATTTATCACCTTATTCCAGCAGAATTTCAAGCTGGAGTAGTCCAATTTGCGCTGGCACTGTGGCAAAAGTGTTCATACTTGGGTCTTGGGCTATAATAAGTCCTATTCATATTTGAGGATAAATACAGATTTGTGTATTTTTATTTTAACTTGTTTATAACAAATTTTACAACACAAAAATTGTTTATCGGTTAAGGACTATGGAGTCGTTTGTGAATTAACCCATTGAGTGACAACACTCTCTCCCCGATGAGTAAAATCCTTGGCATTAGACACATTAAAATAATAAAGTAGGTCACATGAGGGTGCATTGCCACTTAATTAAAGGGTTATATGATATGGAAAATCGCATATATTGGTGCGGAATTTAGCTTTTTGCACCTAACTGATGCATGTGATAGACAGTGGATATATTTCACCCCAGGGCCGTAGAAATCGGGGGCTGTTTGAAATTGTAATTTCAACATACTAAAATGCTGTTTTCGGACCATCAGAATTCTGTCAAATCTTTCCCAAAGTTCAGGAAATGGCATTTCAGAGACTCAAAAAGAGCTTCCCACAGCACTGCACCCCCTGAGCTATTGGCATTAAAATTGAAATTTTACATAACTTTATATTTGCAGTCAGTGGTGTGGAACAGAATCGCTAACAAAGAGGGCCCTCAAAAAGGGGGGGGGGGGGACAAGACGTGGGGTAACAAGGCATTGAGGGTGCAATATGGTAAATATGGATAGTTCTAGTATTTACTTTTGGTTCTAGCTATTCTTCAATTGGTGATTTTTAACGAAAGGGCTTAACATCAAATAATACATTCCGAAATACTGAAGCTATTTCATGTTGGAGCCACATAAATATCATCAAATGGTTAGATCATAGTAATCAAGTACAGATTACTGATTGTGAGGTTAACCTCCCCAAATTGACATGAAATTTTTAACAAGAGGACCCCTGTTGTCAATCTATTAAATAAACAAATGAGTTGCAAGTAAAAATCTTTTATGTGAATACATAATGCAGTTTACAACATGAACATGGATTGGGAGTTTTTAAGCTAATAGTTCAGTCCTATAAACCAGAATAATAATTGGACCTTATGTAATGTAAACATAATTTAGCCAATGGCTGCAAGGTTTATCAATTAAACACATCTATCTATCTAAGAAATACCAATCCCAAGACTGTGTGTCACGTACCTGGTGTGTCACTTCAAAACAGCCAATATTTGAGCCTTCTTGAAAATAGAGCTAGCATGCAAATATATGACAGCTCCAATACATGTAAAACCAATAAGATTTTTATGCAGACTATTGGAGCAAGCAGGACAATAAGCCATAAGCGTATATAGATGTAAAACTTCACAAAACAAAAATATAAACGTTCAGAAATAATGGTTCGACGAACAAATAACACAGTTAATACTACCATTTGCGAGCTACTGTGAAGCGTGCATTTATAACTACGTTTCAAAACGTTTCTTCAGCATGAGTTTGTCAATCATAACTTTTTGTTTTGCCATAATAACTTTTGTGGGCGTTTTGTCAAGCACATTGTTTCGAACGCGAAAATGTCTTCTTATTTTTCAATAGAAAGCGGAATGACAGATTTATAGCACCTTCTGGATGAGTTTACGTAACAAACCTCTATAATACAAGTGAGTTCTGACGCCGAAATTCAAAGTTTCGCGTGCAAACAATATGTTTTATACCACGCCCACAGAATTTATTATGTCAAAACAAAATGTTTTAGGAGCAAAACAAAAAGTTTTGAATGACAAACTCATGCTGAAGAAACGTTTTAAAACCTAGTTATAAATGCACGCTTCACGGAAGCTCGAAAATGGTAGTAAGAATCCACCTCGGAATCTACTCCACTCCTCGATAGCGAAACGTTGATATAATTCTGTATATTCTTGATGAATTTCTTTCAAAAAGCCCCCAGAAGAAAAAGCGTAATTGAAAGAACAATTTGACGTTCACTTTATGCACTTACGAAGACTTTAAGACCATTAAAATAGCGAAAATTTATGCACGTAGTGCTTCGTATATAGGTCAGTGGGAATTTCCATTTTGCGACCATCCATGGAGAACAATTTCACCCGAAACCTATAGTTGATGGCACAGTGCCCTAGCGACTAACTATTCAAGCCATGCAGTGTGTTTTCATACACGTGAAAACAAATCATGTTCATCAACGTTCATCTACACCAAGCACTTAGCGCGACCGCTGGCCAATTTTGCGCCAGTGATCAGCCAAATGAAAGGGGTCAAATGCCCGACGGTGCGGGAATGTTTTCGCGTCAAATTCCCGCCTATGCAGGATTAACCTCTGGTCAAATCCCGGGGGTTCGCCCGGGGGGGATGATCGCAGTTGGAATTGACTCGTACATTTTATGTGTACAAATACAATTAATAGTACATCGCTATTAACATCTGTGTCACAAACAACAATACAATGAAAATGTAATGTGGCAAGGTGAGAGTTTGTTTTTTGTCTAAACGTTTGTATGTGATTTAAAAAAAAATTGAAATGTTGTGATCGACATGGATTCCACAGTGATTGTGATTTGTGTGCTTTACTGGTCTTACATGACGTTTCCTGAGGTGAAAGAATGTTGAGTATAAACTACTTACAAGGCAGTTGCACTAAGTACAACATTGTGTGAGCTAAGGGGGGAGTCGGGAGAAATATAGTTGTTATTGTGGGGTAATGTGTTAACTAAGGTTTTGGACCAGGATTGTGGTATTAACTATTATTCTGGAAAGTAACAACATTTAAACTCAAACTTGAAAAATAGTTTTGACATTATATTTGTATACCTTGTTGTCTTGAATTGAAAATAAAAATAGTCTTAATATAATACATTACATAGCTGAAAGTGAAATGTATACTGGTCGAGAATGTTAATTAAAAGTGGAGTGTAAGAGAAGCTCTAGAAGTACAAGACAATGCATGCCAAAGGTGGGGACTTTCTAGGGGTTACTACAGGGCATGCCCCCATGAAATCTTAAGTTAGGGTATTCATCATTTTGTTGATCATAACTTTCTGCTTTATAATCATAACTTTTGTTAATTAAACTTTGTGGTTACTGAAGAATAAAATTGTATCAAGTGTGTCACGAGAGCTAGGGTAATTCCCCAAATACAATGCACTGAAATTTAATGTAAATAACCAACCCCAAATATACCACCAGAATTGACCAGTTACTACCAGTTCACTGGTTACTACTCAACCTATTCACCAGTCAGGCGCTTTATCGATCTATTAAGTGATGAAGATGAAGCACTCAGCCATTAACTTTTCAATCCGCATCTTCCACAGGAACTAAGGGACCAGTTATTATTTATACCAAGGGTTGGGGCCAAAGAGAAATTATTTCAACAACAAAAAAATCCACCCAATCAACCAATGCCTGGAATTTTGGAATACCCCAAAAATGCAATTTACTACAGATAAATGTGCACATACGTACCTATTTTTCATTACTCATTTTTTATTGACCATTGTCATTGTTTTAGAGAACCTTGTTCACATCAAAACAAAAAGGTGAAACTGTTCATGTAACTAAAAATCTAAGCCAATTTCGGTTTTCGTACACACCCAGCGACGAAGAAGCGAGCGAGGTCTGTGCAAAAGGCAAATACTTTCTTGTACAGACCAGGCAAATGAAGTAATTAATAAAGAATTTATTATATGCTTACCATTTCCTAACAGCAAAATGACTTACCTGATGTATAAAATGCAGTCATTATTAAGCCTCAATGTGCTCTATTCTGTTTAATATTCTGCTTTGTCTGATGCCAGATAATAGACTGTGATCTACCAAAAGAATAGACTGTGATCTACCAACAAGTTTTACATTGATTTTGATCATTCTTTGTGATATGAATCATAATGAAAAAGGTTAATATGAACAACTACAAATGCAGTTTTTTTATAGCAACAATGCGAATTACTTTAATCCAGTTCAATACTTTGCATAGATACATGTACGCATAGCGTGCCTATTTTTATATAATTGCTCAAGTCTACGACTGGACAATGCAATGGCACTTTCTATTACCCAGTAGTAAAATTATACTTTTTTTCAAAATCAATGATTTAATAAGGCGTGATAAAACTAGTTTACCGTATAAGGAGAATGATATGGCAATGTTTCCAAAGAATTGATGTTTTCATAACGACGTCAAATGCAACCTCGCAAGCCAGCCTCTCTACTTCCTCTTCCCTCCCTAACACGCTGGGAGAAGCGGAAATAGAGAACCTGGCTTTCGAGATTGCGTCAAACGCGAGAAAACACTATAATATGCAATGTCCCACGAGCAAACGTTTAGCGACAATTTGCAATGCATTCAAATCCTACGTGAGGAGTTCAGCGTGACCCAGCTGAACAAAGGCGAGCAGAAATGCAGGGTTTGTAAGGGGATAAAGCGTCTCGATGATGTGCAACGAAACAGGGAAGATAATTGGGCCCGATGTGATGATGAAGAATACATCGATTTCCCTGAATGTGGAAATGATTATTGCTTCGCCTGGGGCTGTTCTTGCTGACATTATTTTTATGCGAATATATACATATTCTATGAAACTTGATTGGTTCGGCAACGGCTAGCATTACAAAATGCGTTAAGCCCCGATCGAACGAGAGTGCATGAGACTCAGGGCCGTAGCTATAGGGGGTGTGTCACCGTGTGTGGAGTTTGACGCCCCCTGAAAACGTCTTGTCGGCAAAATAACGAGTTATCAACAAATCGTTCTCGTAGTAAGCGAAAATATTTGAGTGGCTCGGATTAAAAAGTAATAATTATGGCAAAAATTTTGATAAATTTATGAAAATATTACCGAAATTACAGTACATAAATTGGAAAGTTAGTGAAAAATGGTATGTCGATCCGGAAAACGTTTTTAACTTCCCCGCTCGCCAACAATTTTGGGAAAAGAAAGATTAATTACTGTAGCGGCTGAAATGTTGTCGGCAAATCCGACACTACACCACTGCTGTAGGCTCTTCACTACGGCCCTGCATCAACTGACGTCATTATGAAAAAGGTACCTAAATGAACATTGAGGAGGAGAAAGCAGGGATGTAGTGACAGTGATCAGTGTCGGTAAATAATCACCTCAACGCTTCGCGTTTCGATTCAAAAAATAATTACTGATATAAACAAACGTTTATTATATGGCAAGCATCACTTCCGATGAAATGGCGGACTGTGATTGGCTGAGAAGCACTTTCAGCAGTCCATTATTTCCCCGTAAAGGCCGTTTTCCACTAGGCGGAATCTTCCGCGCGGAGCGGAATTTTTCTTTGTCTTGTGATTTCTTGGCTCGGGAACTAATTGGAAAAGACAAAGAGAATAGAGAGGTTAAGATACCCGGTACCGGTTTACGGGTACGAGTATCGCCATTTTGTTTACCAATTTTTGCTGATGTCAGCAATTTTACCCGTAATTTCTACCCGTTTCCCCGCGGTAAACCAAGGTCTACACGTAAACGACAAATGGGTACGGGTGTTTACTGTTTACTATTTTTGGGCCGTTTAAATAGTACAAATTTTTAACATCTTATCCAAATAAATAATGCACATATGCTGGTCAAAGTATTCAACAATTTATGGCCAACCTCAACAGCGAAAGTTGCCATTCTCTGATCGGTTTTCTCACGCCGGAGTATCTTGGATTTCTTAAGTTACAAATTATTCCCCGATTTACGGGTACGGGTACGTGTATATCACCCGTACCCGTAAACAGGAATCGGGGTATCTTAACCTCTCTAATTTCCGCCCCGCGCGGAAAATTCCGCCTAGTGGAAAACGGCCTTAATGGACCGGCGGTCCATTATGTAAAAACAAATGCATGCATTTTTGAACAAAACAGCAAAACTAATTGAAAATTATAATTTAATTTGTTATTAATAAGATATCTGCGAATGGTTTTTAGTGGAAAAGAAGGAATGCGTAGATATTTTTTGTTTTCTTCGACCAAATGTGTATCACGCTATACTACTAGAAATACATGCATGCAACAACCCCTCGCCTATATTTTCCAAACATTGTTTCAACATGAAGTATTCGTAATTACGCCAACACTGAACGCAGGCTCGCGTTGCACGTCATGTTAGTCATGGCAACACGTCAACACGATAATTGATTAATTGTTTTTTAATTTTTTGTACAAACCAGGAAAAAATAGATGAAACTTGAACACTTTTATACGGAGCCCCGGAGGGGCCATCAATAAAAAACACAAATTTTTTGTAAAAAAAAAAACACAAACATTTTTTTGAAAAAAAACACAAACTTTTTTTGGAAAAAAAAAACACAAACTTTTTTTGAAAAAAAAACACAAACTTTTTTTTGAAAAAAAACACAAACTTTTTTTTGAAAAAAAAAACATAAACTTTTTTTTGAAAAAAAGCACAAACTTTTTTTTGGCATGGTAGACTTTACGGGTAGCGGATTGCGGATGCGGATTACGGATGTGGATTACGGATGCGGATTGCGGATGCGGATTACGGGTGCGGATTGCGGAGTGCGGATTGCGGATTGTGAACCCATGCAAATCGTTTATTTCTTCGGAAAAAAGCCACAATAATTGCCTGTAGCTACTTGTAGCTATGCTATGCCCCCTAGGAAATGGCTCTATATGTCTTGGTTATAACGGAGTATATCTGTGTTAGAATGAAGCAGCCGAATATTTCGACAATAAAGAATAAACCTAGTTTGAATAAAATGAAACACTCAGATTCAAACATTTCGTAAGTCACATCGCGTGTGCGGCGTGTATGGAGCTAAATAATTCATTGACCGATGACAAATAGTGACAAAGCAAATATAGTGACGTTTAGTGTTTACTGCTAGACGTACATCCAGGCCCTAAATAGTTAATTTCAAGAAAAATTAGGTCGATACATAGATGTTTATTTACCCTAATCACTACAAATGTTTAAGTTGTTAATAAACAACCTCAAGAAATCGGATTTTGTGCAAGGCTGCCAAGGCTGATGATATTCTATTTATTTTAAATATTCTGGAGGAAACACAGTGAAGGTTAGTTTTTATAGTGAATACTATTTATCAATACTGATTGCTGTTGATTTGAAACTCGATTTTGATAATTATACGATGTCGGTGAAACGAGGACGCAAAATCATTGGACAATGGCGGATTTTCAAGAAAATCATTATTTTCAAAATAGGCCGTTTCAATTTTAATAAGTTTTCGTTTCAACTGTGTCTTTAAATGTTTATAACTATATATTTTGAAAGCTTCAAATGCGTGTGTTTACACGTGCAGCAAGGCGAGATTTTGAAAATGTAATAGATATTTTTGAATTTCCGTGGCATAACAACAGTTTGTTGCGAACAGTTTCTCGGCGAATTTTCTACTAACCTGAATATAAATCGAACTAAAATGTAGGCATTTTCATAAGCTATCTGACAATATGCGTAAAATTATTATACTTGTAATATTCGCACAGATATAGACGAATAAAAGTCATGTTTATGTTGCATTAAACTTTCTAATTATAATTCTGGTTTCAAATATTGTTTACATTTTGTTATTTTGACCCCGTCGTTTAGACAACGTTTTCTCGCTCAATATTGTAGCTACATGAATATAGCTCCCACTAAAATGTAGGCATTTTCACAAGCATTCAAACCATCTGCGGTAGGGGTGAATATCGTTAAATTTCGAATTAATATAAGCTGTTGAAACTCGTGCCTAAACCAGACATTATATTGTCGGACGGCAATTTTGACACACCCTCAGCTGGCCTCAGCTCGTTTAGACAACAAATAAGTTTAATGCAACACAAACATACGACTTTTATTCGACTATATCTGTGCGAATATTACAGGTACAATAATTTTACGTATATTGTCAGATAGCTGGTGAATTCAGTTACATTTTGGTACGAGCTATAATATTGTAGCTATAATATTGAGCGAGAATTCGTTGCCTAAACGAGGGTGTAAAAATTTCCGTCGGAATACACATTCTAGTCGGACAATATAATGTCTGGTTTTAGGCACGAGGTTCAACCGCTTATTTTAATTCGAAATTTAACGACATACACCCCCAACGCGGATGGTTTGAAAGCTTATGAAAATGCCTACATTTTAGTTGGATTTATATTAAGGTTAGTAGAAAATTCGCCGAGAAACTGTTCTTTTTTTTCAAAAAAAAGTTTGTGTTTTTTTTTTAAAAAAAGTTTGTGTTTTTTTTTCAAAAAAAAGTTTGTGTTTTTTTTTTTTTAAAAAGTTTGTGTTTTTTATTGATGGCCCCTCCGGGGCTCCGTACTTTTAAATACAGAACTATCAATTTCTAAAATATATAAAGTAGGTATAATATTTTGGTTTCTATGGGCTTTATTTTAATGTAAATTCAAAACGAAACTCTACGTAAAACGTTTTTAAATGTGAATTGAAATTAACTGCTTTTTGCCGATATTTATAAACTTCTCAACTCGAGCTTCAACTTATTTATACTCGCACTTTGAAATGAAAGAAATTTATTTCGTACAGGACGCTAATGAAAATAATTTGCTTTCCTTTTTATCATGAACTTCTACAAAATTCACCAGATTTTCTTTACAAAAATATTTTATAACAAACATTACAAATTCATGAACATATTATTATTAACAGGAGAAATGCATCAAAACTTTTCAAAAATATGTTATAAAAGGAAAAATTATGTCGAACACACTCTCAAGCTCAAACAGAGGAATTGACTTGTGGAATTCGTTATCTAATATTGTCTGAGAAAAATACTAGGATCTGATCTGAAAGCATGCGACTTTGTAAGCGAAGATAAATTTCACAATAACCAACTTGTCCATGCGCATATTTCATTAATGGTCATTAATTTGTTCAGAAAAATCTTACTAGACAGTCTATCCAGTATGTTGAAAAACAAGAGTCTCCCGCGAGACCAACTCGGCCCACACAATCGTACGCGGGATCTCTCGTCAAAACTCTCAACTTCCTCCGCCAGTTTTTATTAGGCTTGGTCATTTGAACACTCACCCACTTTGCTGGACAAGCCTCACACCAAATTATAAAAGAAATGTCATAAACAATAGATTGGACATGGTTGTTATGTACGAGTCAAATCCAACCGCGATCAGGCCCCCCCCGGGCAACCCCCGGGTATTGTGACTTTTGAAAAAATAATTGGTCAAATGCCCGCCCGAACAGGAAGAATCCACAGTCAAATGCCCTGCTATAGGGGTAGTCCTGTTTCTCGAATTTTGACTAAAATTAAATTTAACAAGTATTTCAAGATTGAAAAGAACGAAAAAAAAGGCCAGACAGTTCTTTTTGTTCAACTGGGCATATTGTATCATATATCTATGATTGATATTTGTGATTCAGAAGCAATTTTCAAACTATCGAAAAGACGCAAAATAGAAAACTCGTAAAGCGCTAGAAGGTACACATATTTTTAGGGAAAACTGCTGAGCAAGTTGTTGTCAAGTGGTCAAATGCCCGGGCCGGGCCGTCAAATTCCCGACCGGGCTGTCAAATTCCCACCTATACGGGGGTAATGTTAAGACAAATGCCCTGGGGTTGCCCGGGGGGGGGCTGATCGCGGTTGGATTTGACTCGTACATTACCAAAACCGAAGGCTTTGTTATGACGTCAAAGGAAAAATTTACTAAACCGAGATGCAAACACTGCCGTCTTGACGGTTATAGCAGCTGGTTTGGAAAAACCGTGGGCGCATATACAGAAATTTCGTTCAAAGTGCCCGCATTTTTTCCTAACGGGAGGGTGTTAACAGCCGGTCGGTAGTTATTGCAATTCGGTCATGCTGGGTATGTGGTTCTGCCAATTGATGGTTGGATAACAAGTTTGATGAAAAACGACGCATTAATTTGAGAGACAAACTTGCACGAGCATTGGTTAGGATAATAACATTTCGTGTGAAACTTGGAGAACATACTTTGAATATCAAAATTGTGAAGACAGGACAGGTTTCCCTTGTTGGCAGGGCCGCAGCGAAGGGGTTAACCTATAAGAATTAACCTATTCGGAAAATCGGGTTGGCCATTCGGAAAATTACGGCAATAATAGTATAACAAAATTTTAGTTGTTTAAACAGAGAAAATATTATAAAATGGAATTGTCAGTATAAACCATTGGTATAAACTGATTTACGAGATCACGGCATTTACATGGATAACGTAAAACAAATCGTAAATCGGTAAATGTTTTTCGGTTTATTACTTCTCAGGGTCGTAGCAGTCGGGGGGAGGGCAGCAGTATATATATATATATATATATATATATATATATATATATATATATATATATATATATATATATATATATATATATATATATATATATATATACACACATATACATATATATATACACTACGCTTTTTCGTAACTATGGTGGCTAAAGTTTGTTATTTTACACATTTTAGGTTTTCTATGCTAAATTTAGATTCATGGCAGCCGGGAAATGGTGAACATAAATGGGCGAAGGTCGGAGTTCGTTACAGTTCCGTGATTCAGAAGAAATGCACCAGTCTTTTATATTTTGATAATCTGCCTGGTCATATTGTGACAATCTGTTGTATTAGACTAAGTAATTGTGTTAGGTTTGATGACCGATTTGATGTTAAAACTTAAAAACTGTAATGATTTAATAATTAATATATATACCTGTAAAGTGTTGTTTAAATCTTTTCCGGTGTTCAAATGTTGGTTGTTGTACACAACTTCTATCAGATTGAAACCGAATAATTATACTCCAAAATTGGAAGTACTAAAATTAATGAGGAACGATAATCACATTCTCATCTTTGCAAGCGTTGAGAGGCCGTGAGGCATATATAGTTACACATGCACGCGTGTCCACAATTTCTCACCAGATCTATATGTCCGTGTTAAATACATGCAATTTAAAATAATCGGGCAAAGGTTCTATTTTTCTCGCCCAGCTATACAAGCAGATCTTGATAAACACTTAATTTTAGCAAGAACAGCCGAAGTGGAAGCAATAATCATTTCCACATTCAGGGAAAACTATGTATTCTTCATCATCACGTCGGGCCCAATTATCTTCCCTGTTTTGTTGCACATCATCGAGACGCTTTATCTCCTTACAAACGCTGCATTTCTGCTCGCTTTTACTCAGCTGGGTCACGCTGAACTCCTCACGTGGGAATCGTCGCTCGCATAAGGTACAAGACGTATTTGCCAGAGGAAAACTTGCAGTTCCCTTCTCTGGAATGATGTCGAGCGGAAGAAAAGCATTGGTTTCGTAGTCATCGTAGGACCTTTCCTCCTTCTGTCGGTAGAATTCGACATACTTTTCAGAGGCAATTTTTAGTCGGGTTTTGCCGTCCACACTGCTTAAAATATCTTTCATTTTGTCGTAGAGTTTGAACATACCTATGGTATCAGCGACACAATATTGAATCAACGTTTCAGACAACGGTCTAACCTTCCATGCTTTATTATTTATCTTGAAAAGCTTGCCTCCACTGTCTTTCGCTTCAATCAATTTGTCATCTTCGAGATATAACTCCAAACAACGCCGATATCCATAGATGTTTTCGACTTGATCTGTGAACTGGCTGCGCCGTTTATACCGTCCAAATTTTGTCTTGGGGGAAGGCTTTGCACTCTCAGATGTGGGATTCTCACGGCGATACATGATTTCAAGCAACTGAAGATCCAACACTCCTGCTAGTTTGACGTTAAACTGATGCCAGAGTGCATCCGAATCTTGTCGGCAATCAAACATCAACTTCTCTTGCGTGTTGTCTTCTAAGATTTCCTGCAGTCCACCGCTGAAGATAGCTTTACCAATCTTGAGCACATCGAATAGGTACGCTTTTTCTCTCGTTGCTATAGACAGAATTGTCAATTCTCCTTTTCTACTTAACGACACCCCTTCACAGTCAACAGCTAGGAGATTATTACTTGTTTGTTTATATTGGTTAAGCTCCGAAATAGCAACGTTCAGAGCGATCTCGTTATCAATAAGCTTTGAATCATCACTGTATTCGATTTGGCCTGCCATTTTTCATGCACAATTAGTTAGATTCATTCAAGTTGGAAGAATTTTACAGCCACAAGTACGCTTAACCCTAAGTAAGTCAGGATAACAATCTCCATGACAACAATGCTAGACGCTCTAAGTTTCTAGGTATTTCGTTTCCCAGAACCCTGGGGAGCAACCGGAAATGCATGAGATAATATATCTATTTGGGGGAGGTAACGAATATTGGCGATGAAAAATTTGATGTTTTTGTGAAGTAAAAAAATGTTCTCTCGGGAGCTGTTTTAATTAAACCACCTCACTATAATTTTTAGATTGATTGCCATGTGGTAACGAAAAGCAGCGTCTTTTTTTGTTTTTATTTTTCTCATGTTTTTGCTAATATACTGCTGTCCCTCCCCTCCTTAATAGAAAATATAATGATACAGGCTCATCTCTAGATGATATTGCAGCAGACCTACGTGAAGATTATGCGCGTACTGTACTACATGCGGGTTTTTCTCAAGAACTATAGTGAATAGTGATTCAAACAGAACAAACTCGAAACAGTGTTTCAATATTTCATAAATATTGATTACTTAAATTTTGTGTATATATTTCTTAACATATGGTTAAAAATAATGGTTCACAGAAAACATTAAACGAAAAGTTATTCACTGGGGTAAAAAAATGCGCAATAAAAACGTGAACGCATTCATGTATTCAGTACCAATGTCAACAGTCATCTTCGAATCGTATTTGGATAATTCTTGGGAATCTTATAAACAGATATTCAAACCGGTTTGCAATGTTCTGATGAACGTATAATAGCGGTGTATACTGTATATATGGTGAGCTGTGGATATAAATATTTTTCTATCATTGAATGATTGATTCTACTATAAAATAAGTCGAAATATTGAACGTCCCAATGAACGAAAGGGGGCAAATCAATTCTTGATATAATGTAAATAGTAATTACTGCAAATTTACAACATTATGATACCAAGAGATCATTACAATTTCCTCTACCCAATTTTAGATTAAATATCAATACATTATTTCTTGCTTTATTGTTATAATTTTATTGTTTTAACGTTTCTTGGTATTAATATTATAATGAAGTTGTTTTTGCACTGCATTATATAGGTACTACATGTCAAGGCGTACCAACTTTGAGACCTTATTTTAGTTTTATTGTGGATCGAATATGTTTACGAAATGTACCACCCCAGCAATAGGACAAGAATACAGTTACAGCGAATCATACAAAGTCAGTGTCAGTGATGTCGCTTATAGTCTTCCAAATTCCAAAGAAACGCACGAATCAATGGAACAAACAACGGATATGAAAGAAGTTGAGGAACACGTGCATTCTCATAGTGAAATCACGCGAAGTTTTCCAGCGAAAGACACGCTCCTTTTGAACGAGTTCGCAAACCCTAAATCAGTTAATTACGCCACCCGAAATTTATTCAAAACTACAGAATTTTACGACGAAATGAGAATGAACGTAACAACGTAACATTTGAGGAAAAATATTTTTCCAATCTCAACAAAACACCTTGACTCATCCTGCATGTGATCAAATCTTTTAAACTAACTGGCAGGAAAGATATGATTGACAAACAAGTTAAGAAGAATTTGCTTCCAATCCACAATTTAACCGCGCTTCGCAAGGGCATTACTTATTCATCCGTTCGAAACATGGAACCTCAAACCGAAATTTGCACCAATCAACGACATTCGTATCCACGAAGACAAGCTTGAAGCTGTGATTACAAGAACGGGCGAACCTTGAGATTAAAACAAAAATTATTTAAAGTATTACAAGGAGTGGATGTCTATTTGGATGTGATCGGAGGTTCACACACTCAGGAAGTGGAATAGAAGAAGAAGAAGGTGGGATTCAAGGGGTATTCCATAGGGTAATTACAGATTGGTGGGGTAAGACAATCACACCTGTAACGGGATCTGAACTGAAGACACGTCAATTTCGACACGACCTTTCAATATTGTTTTCGTTCATATATGTTCACAAGCAACGTGATCTAATTTCCCTTGAATCAGCCGTTAATGACATGAGGAAACTCGTTTTTAAAGGTAACAGGATTATACCTTTAGAACAGCTGACGAGACAACTTTTGGTGTATCCAACTGAGCCGGCATTGCTGTATATAAATTTCTTTTCTGGTGAAAGTTGCAATAAATCATGTTCTAATCTTGAAGTTTGTGGTCAGAATAATCTTACTTATATTTACAACATAACAACTCTGAGCTTGCGGAAAGCGGTTTGTCTGAGAAAAACAGGATCTGATCTCAAAGCATGCGACCTTGTATGCAAAGACAGATTTTATAATAACCAACTTGCCAATGCGCACATTTCATTAATGATCATTAATTTGTTCAGACGAATCTTACGGGATATGCTATCTAGTGTGATGAAAAACAAGAATGTTCCAGTCTCCCGCGAGACCAACTCGACACGTGATTTAGTTTCCCATGCAATCCTACTCGGGATTTCTCGCCAAAATTCTCAACTTCCTCCGCCAGTTTTTATTAGACCTGGTCATTTAAACACTCACCCACTTTGCTGGACAAGTCTCACACCAAATTATCAAAAACATGTCATAAAAACAATAGCTTGGACATGGTTGTTACCAAAACCGAAGGCTTTGTTATGACGACAGAGAAAAAAATTACCAAACCGACATGCAAAAACTGCTGCCTTGATGGATATAGCAGCTGGACTGGTAAAACAGTGGGTGCATATACAGAACTTTCATTCGAAGTGCCCGCATTTGTTTCTAAGGAGGGTATCAACAGCCGGTCGGTATATAGTTATTTCGGTTCGGTCATACTGGGTATGTGGTACTGCCAATATGTGGTTGGATAACAACTTTAATTCACAGATTGCTTCAAAACAAAACAAACACAGAGGCGTAGCCAGGATTTTTGGTCAGGGGGGGGGCAGCAAAAACCCAGGTGGGGCCAAAAAAATTTTCCGGACCACAACATTTTAAATCTCTCCGACCCCCCCCTCCCCCGTGGACACCTTTTTTGGTAAAAAAATTTCTGGACATCCCGTAGCACTTTTCCCGATTTCCGTATCACTTTCTCCGATGCTTCACCACAAAGATTCCGACAACATTGACAATTTTCCGACGGGTCTCAACTTGAAGCTATATAATCAAGGATTCCCTTTTTTTATTGCTGCGTAGCGAGTGAGCTTGAAGCGAGCGAGCGAAGCAGCATTCTAATATGTGCAGAGAGGGGGTTTTGAAGTTCCACTTGATCTTTAAAATATTATATATTCTTGCTTATGATTTAGTGAATATCACTTCCATAAACATTAACACGCCTATCTGTAATCTGTGATTGCTCTTGAACCCGTGCATGGTCTTGGCAAAAAATGCATTGCTTTTTCTCAGACACTCATGGCATGAATCGATTCCGTGTTCCTTAAGCTCCAACCACAGTGCTCACAAGTCGCCGGCTCGCTGCGAGTAACATGCTTTATGTAATTTGTACTATTTTTAGTTATATTTGCTCTTGATGCCCGCAGCAATCCCTACCTTGCAGGTACCCTTACTAGTACAATACATTTTATCAGGGGGGCAAAATTTTGCCAGGGTGGGGGGCAAAATTTTGCCAGGGGGGCCCAGGCTCCCCGGCCCCAGCCCTGGCTACGCCTCTGAACAAACATGGCGCCGCGCTATACATAAAGTAAAAGTTATGATGTAAAATATGGCTTTTATCTTTTTTTTAAATGAAAAAGCCTTTATATACCTTTAAACAAGACTAACAAAACTTACATGTAGTTGAGTGGAATTTTCAAGCTGTTAGCGTTGTATAATATGATATAACAAAGCCAGGAAAATTTTGCCAGTGGACGGTTCGCTATAATTGTATAAACACAAGTTAAAACTACAATTGTCTCGAAAATTTTTATCTAAATTATTAATAAATAATAGCATGGTTTCTCGTGAAATTTGGATAAACATAAACTCGTGAGTTTTTCAAAGACCTCAAATAGCACTCGTCCTTCGGACTCGTGCTATTTTGAGGTCTTTGAAAAACTCGCTCGTGCAGGTTATATCCAAATTGCACTCGAAACCATGCTATTACCTATACTTATAAATAAATTTGCAGTGACCAACTTCCCTTCGTCCAAATTGTTTAACACTTCTGTTACATTTTGGAAGTTCTTTCATTTTGTTAATCAGTTTCCGCGACCATGCGCGTAAAAATGGTCACCCGGTTTTGTTTGCGATTCTTGAGCAGGGTTTTTGTGATAGCTATATATCGAGCCACCTTAAGTCGTGTAGTTAACTAATCACAGTTAAGAATTTAACTACAATGATTAACGCTAATCATAGTTAGAGTTAACAACGTCTTTTATACAACCAGCCCGTAGAGAATTCTGGCAGAAAACTCGTGTTCTGCAAGTGTTATATAAGTATTGGTTAAACACCGAGAACGGAGGCTTTAAATAAATTCCGAAGGCCCTGAAGGATTTATCTGGCTTCAAAGCCGACGTCCGAGGTGTTTAACCGACTGGTTCGACGATTGGGAGGGTTTTGTTCCCCAAACAGCTCTTGTGCCTGTGGGACGTAGGATCTGGTTGAACATGCGCACTTTAAATGCTTTAATGTGAACGAGCATGCGCATTTTATCATTCAACGTCCCACAAGTGAAACAGCATATGTTCATGCTGACGGATTGGCCGTGCTCTTTGCTTGCGTGAAAACACTGGGACTGGCCTTGAATTTGGCTTCAAATTTCCGCTTGGAGGTAACATTCCAGTTATGTTAATTTCTCTGCCACGAAAGCAATGCCAGCACGAAGGAGAGGAATCCTATGTTGGCACGGTTTGCTAAAGGGGATGTACGAGACGGAGGTATTCAGGATGGCAGCGACTAATTTCAAGACCGTTAAAACGTAAAAGAATCAACAACGAACACTTGCAACAATCTTAAACCAAACCTAACCCAAAACCTAACCCTCACCCTGAACCTAAATAAAATAGCCTACTTATTTATTGAGCTTGTTCAGTCCGGACCGCAAGATCTCGTTCCTTTTCGTTTGTATTTAATTATTCTCACCAATTGATATCTCTATAGTTATTATTGGGCGAAGGAATATATAAATGTATTTTTTACCAGTATAAAGATTTGTGCTACTCTTATACTTCAATATTTATCTCATACCTAGCGATTAGCGGCTTTCCTATTGGCTACGAGGAGGTGCGTTCAATCTCTTATCCCATACCTGTGTTAAAACGGCTTTCTGATTGGTTTAGAGCAGGTGAGCTTGTCGTCTTATCCCATACGTGTGTTAAAAGCGGCTTTCTGATTGGTTTAGAGCAGGTGAGCTTGTCGTCGAGCTCACCTGCTTTTTGCCGAACTCACCTGCTTTTCGCTCGAACTCACCCGCTAAACTGCTTACGTTGCAATAACAATAACAAATATGGCGGACAAGATTTAGCCGATAAACCTAAACTTTAAATTAAAGAACTTTTTCGGTGACTAACATACCGAGACTGAAGAAAAACCAAAGAAAAAATGCAGTAAAGGTAATGTAGACGTAGATAAAGAAGTATTTTCTTGCCCAGTGATTTTTTTGGCCGGGAAAATGTTCACAAAACATCGACGAATATATCGCGAAGAGCTACAAATGTGTGTATGGCTCGGTCAGCCTCGGTGTATGGGATAAAAACCAAACATACTTGCAGGTTCGGTGAGTCCGGGATTGGACGCACCTCGGGTGGCTGGAAGTTTCCCGACGTATGTTTAGGAAGGGGGTATGTTTCTGAAGAAGGGGGTTCGAGATCGATGTTTCGGCGGCGGCCATTATGAAGCGATTTGAACAAATTTCAGACAAAAAGTTTAAAATAAAAAATAAAATAACTGTTTTTGATTGTTTTATAATTATTTTTATTTTGTTGGAAGAAAATAGAATATTCTATATTCAAAGTGCAAAAGAAGAAAGATAGCCGACGAAATTTGTTCGGCACGGGCAGGTTTATATAAATCTTGGCAATTAGTCTAGGACCTGCATATGAGTTTGTATGCGATTCATTTAGGACAGGTAATCTCAACTGTTTTAGGGTAAAATGTCCATGGCGATCAACATGGAATATGTGCGAAAACCTGAATCCGGGACGAAAGTCCTGAAAATGACCCCGCCCTGAAACGGCAGTGTCGACATAGCTCTAATTTCCGAAAAGGAAAAGCGACAGCCTTTCT